GAAGGTTCTGAGAGGCTGAACGAGGTCTGGAGGAAGCCTAGCAACTTTCTGGTGCTGAGGAGAAGCCCTGAAAGGGTCTTGCCCACGGTGTTGGAGTAGCCAGGGCTGGGAAGGTTTTGGGGTGGGCCCTGAACAGGCCTTGGGAGGTTCTGGAAGCCTTGCCTGGCAGGGGCCTTGCAGGCTGGGAGGCCCTGGGAGGGTGCTGGGAGGTTCTGGTGGCACCCGAACGCCTTGAAGGTCGAGGCTCCTGGACCAGGCTTATGCCATGAGTTTACCCTAAACCCTAAACCCCTAAACAGTGTTAGGGTTTAGGGTGGGATTTTGGGGCATAGGGGCTGGGATCTGATCGCTCAATTGTGTTAGGGTATCTCTTTGGGTTATTTGGGGAAAAATTATGGGTATCCTTTTTGGGGGTCCCCGTAACAAGGACTTTAGTATTTTGGGTCTATATTGGGGTACCCCTATTTTGGGAAACTACCATTTAGGGAATAATGCAAAAGACACTGAAAACTTAGGGTTTAGGATGGTGAGGGATTTGGGGATTGGGGTAGGGATTTAGGCTTCTGATTTGTCTAGGGTAATATTCCAGGTTCAGGATTGGAGTAGCTCATTTGTTCCAATGCCAAGCCCATAAACCCTAAAGCACCCAGAGATCCCTTGGACGTGCAGCCAACGAACCCGCAAGAAACCCGTGTAAACTGCCCATTATCCAAGGGGCGCTGGTTTTGGGGTCTAGGGCGCAGGGTTGAAGGCTTGGGTTTCCGGGCTTCGGGTGTAGGGTTCAAGGCTCAGGGTTTCGAGCTTATATAGGGTGTAGGTTGCAGGTCATGGGACATTGACTGTTGGAGAGGGTTTTGGCCAAATACGATTCCTCTGACATCCGCGTACATAAGTGTACACACAAACCCCCCAAATCCCAAGCCCTGCCATCCCTGAATAGTACACCCCGAACGCAATGTTATGGAGGAAAGGAAAAGACGTCGAGCTCATGAGATTGGTACAGGAAAAGACAGAAAACGTGCTGGAAGGAATCTGGACCGGAAGGTTCAGGGTTTAGGGTTTGGCATCTAGGGCTTCGGGTACTGAATGAGAGGCTTTTGGAAAACCCAGCCTGGGACCCGATGATAGTCATAGTGTAGCAATAAGGTATAGGCCCCCTGAAGTAGATAGAATCTGGGGTATATGGGGATTATGGTATAATATACCCAAAGCCATATTCTATCTACTTAAAGGGGGACTATACATATAAGGGAGTTGGGGTTGGGTACTTAAAATCCATTTATTGTACTTGGAGCGTTGTGGGGTGTTGGCAACTCGTTGTGCGCTACCAACTGCTCTAAGCCATATGTTATCCTTACTGTGGATGGAGGAAATCTACCTAAACTCCAATAATTGTAAACGCTAGCTCGCGCCCGCCTCGGCTGGCGGGGCTTCCCACTGTAGGAACATGTAATTATAGATATACCGGTATTTAAGTTAGGTATAGAGATACAGTCATATGCCTATTACATACACAATAAAACCCTAGAAGTCCAACTAGGGACGCGCAAGTAGGACCTTGGAAACCGGTGGAGAAAATGTTCAGGACCAGCGTTCAGACCTTGGGTTTAGGGTTCCGTCTTGCGGGCTGATAGGCGT